TTAATGCCATAACTTTTGCAAACAATTTTACATCTGCATTAAGCAATGATATCCATCCTAGGTTAGCGCAGCTGGAGAATGATTTTCCTGGTTTAGGCAATGCATCTCTCCTGAATCTAAGATGCTATTAAAAAGATTTATGAGATTTGGTATCAATTGCTTTGCAAATTCAAAAATAATATTAGTTGGGGAACCCATCTTGGCCTGGCGCTTTATGTTTTGGGGTTGTTTTAATGGCCTCCCATACCTCATCTGTTGTAAATGGTTTTTCCAATTCCTCTGCCTCATCCTGCGTAACACACAGTAATACTACATCTTCCAAAAAAGTTTTAAATCGTATCTAGAAACATTAAAACATAGAATGTGACGGCAGATAAGAACCATTTGGCCCATCTAGTCTGCCCAGTTTTCTAAATACTTTCATTAGTCCTTAGCCTTATCTTATAGTTAGGATAGCCTTATGCCTATCCCATTCATGCTTATACTCCTTTACTGTGTTAACCTCTACCACTTCAGCTGGAAGGCTATTCCATGCATCCACTACCCTCTCAGTAAAGTAATACTTCCTGATATTATTTTTAAACCTTTGTCCCTCTAATTTAAGACTATGTCCTCTTGTTGTGGTAGTTTTTCTTCTTTTAAATATAGTCTCCTCCTTTACTGTGTTGATTCCCTTTATATATTTAAATGTTTCTATCATATCCCCCCTGTCTCGTCTTTCCTCCAAGCTATACATGTTAAGATCCTTTAACCTTTCCTGGTAAGTTTTATCCCGCAATCCATGAACCAGTTTAGTAGCCCTTCTCTGAACCCTCTCTAAGTATCAATATCCTTCTGAAGATACGGTCTCCAGTACTGTGTACAATACTCCAAGTGAGGTCTCACCAGTGTTCTGTACAATGGCATGAGCACTTCCCTCTTTCTACTGCTAATACCTCTCCCTATACAACCAAGCATTCTGCTAGCATTTCCTGCTGCTCTATTACATTGTTTGCCTACCTTTAAGTCATCAGAAATAATCACCCCTAAATCCCTTTCCTCATATGTTGAGGTTAGGACTCTATCAAATATTCTGTACTCTGCCCTTGGGTTTTTACGTCCAAGATGAATTATCTTGCACTTATCCACATTAAATGTCAGTTGCCACAATTCTGACCATTTTTCTAGTTTACCTAAATCATTTGCCATTTGGCTTATCCCTCCTGGAACATCAACCCTGTTACATATCTTAGTATCATCAGCAAAAAGACATGCCTTACCATCAAGACCTTCTGCAATATCACTAATAAAAATATTAAAGAGAATGGGTCAAGTACAGATCCCTGAGGTACCCCACTAGTGACAAGTCCAAGCTTCGAATATATTCCATTAACTACAACCCTCTGTTGCCTGTCACTCAGCCACTGCCTTACCCATTCAACAATATTGGAATCCAAACTTAAAGATTGCAGTTTATTGATAAGCCTTCTATGTGCAACAGTGTCAAAAGCCTTACTAAAATCTAGGTAAGCAATGTCTACTGCACCACCCTGATCTATAATGTTAGTTACCCAATCAAAAAAATCAATAAGATTAGTTTGGAAAGATCTCCCTGAAGTAAACTCATGTTGTCTCTGATCTTGAAATCCATGTGTTTTTAGATGTTAAACAATCCTATCCTTTAACATTGTTTCCATCACTTTCCCCACTACTGAAGTAAGGCTTACTGGCCTATAGTTGCCTGACTTCTCCCTATTATCTTTCTTGTAAATAGGCACAACATTTGCTAACTTCCAATCTTCTGGGATTATTCCTGTTAACAATGATTGGTTAAATAAATCTGTTAATGGTTTTGCTAGTACACCACTAAGCTCTTTTAATAGCTTTGGGTGTATTCTATCAGGTCCCATTGTTCATTTGTCTTTACTTTTGACAGTTGAAATAGAACCTCTTCCTCTGTAAACTCACATGTAATAAACAACTAATTTATCCTTTTTCTTAATTGAGGTCACTTTCCTTAATTTTTGTCTGGATACCTTGTCTGGATTCCTGGAGTGTTGCAGTCTTCTCCCAGCAATTAATAGCAGGAACTCCAATAATGTAAAAACTAAAGTTAATATTAAACATATGGATAAAAGAAAATAGAAATAAATACTTTGTAAAATGTCCAATTTGTTGCCAAAACATGTTTTCGGCTTCCTCAGTTGGCTTGGTTAACGTTCTCCAGTCCATTCTGTTCTTTAAATATGTTCTAATTCGCTGTCTTTTTTTCCGTGGAATGCAACCTGCATTCCACCTTTCCATCGATGTCTCAGTTCCGGGTTGCGTCACTTCCTGGTTGTGACATGTCTAGTCATGTGGTTATGTGATATGATTGAAACGCACCTTGCATTTCATTTGATTGGCAACACACGTCCATTCAGATCTTTGAGTCTTTGGAACGCACTATTGCATTCCATTCAGCCGATAAGTTCTAACAATAAAAGTCCTGTATCTCTATGCAGTCTTATTCTACACCAAAATCATGTACATATTAAATTATTGTATTATATTGGGAACATATATATATATATATGTCTGTTAAACACACCTATTTCAATGTTATCCTCACATATATAAAAATAAAAAATGTACAAACGACAAATATTTAAAGTGGTCGTGTAGCCATAATGTATGTGCCTCAGCACAGTCCTTTATACCTAAAAACCCTGAACATATTGATTTATTGTCATATTAAAAACATAGACAAGTATATAAATATCAATTAAATCACAGTTTCCTCAGTTTTATCCAAATAGCTCATCGATTTTGTTTTTTTTCTTCCAGAGCATAGTTACATAGTTACATAGTTACATAGCTGAAAAGAGACTTGCGTCCATCAAGTTCAGCCTTCCTCAGAAATGTTGTTGCTGTTGATCCAAAAGAAGGCAAAAAACCTGGTCTGAGGCACTTCCAATTTTGCCACAAACTAGGAAAAAATTCCTTCTTGACCCCAAAATAGCAGTCAGATGTCTCCTTGGATCAATCAGCTATTACCCCACTAATTAGAAATTATATCCCTGTATGTTATGTTTTTGTAAGTATTTATCCTATTTCAAGATCATTTATAAATATGTTAAATAGAAGTGGTCCCAAAACAGAACCCTGAGGGAAACCACTTACCACTTTTGTCCAGCCTGAAAATTTACCATTAATGACAACTCGTTGTACTCTGTCCTTAAGCCAATGTTCTACCCAAGAACAGGAATATTCATCTAGACCAATTTCTTTTAGTTTGAAGACTAACCTATTGTGAGGAACCGTATCAAATGCCTTGGCAAAGTCCAAGTAGATGTCATGGACTTCCTTGCGGATTTCTTGCGATATTTTTCGGAAATAGTGATGTTCTCAAAGTAGAAAGCATATCCGCCAACCTCTTTTCAGATAGAGATAGATCTTTGCTCATTTCACCCGCAATATGCATTGAGTCTGTATCAGATACCGCTTCAGAGTGGTGTGAGGGGCATCTCACTTCATTGCCACTTTGTTCTGGCTTTCCTCTATCTCTCTTGTTTGATTTAAAAAACTCATGCTGTCTCTGTGATTTCGGTGGCGCCATCTTTGGCCGTATATGTTAGTTCGCCGATACGTTAGTGCAGTAGTATGATTAAACAATAATTTGGTGCAGTAATGCAATAGTATATTACATTAGTTTGCTGATACGGTTGTGCATTAGTACTGTAATGTGGTCAAACAGAAATAAACAGTAATACGGTGCCATGGTGCAAAAGTTTGCTACACTCTCCTTTACAATTGTTCTCGTGTGCACCTGTAGAACAGTGAAACTGTGAACCTGTACTTCCATGCTCCTTTATCCCAGCTGCACCCCAGCTCTCCGCTTCTCTCAGAAAATTGCTGTGCACCAAAAAATTTTAATTTTTTTTTCTTATTTAAATAAAACCAAACAGAACTTTTAATTTTTTTTAATTTTGTCTAGCTTGCTTGCTTAGCTGCTTTCTGAATATTTTCTGGGTGTTTGCCAGGCACTAATTATTTTGTGGTACAGTGTCTCTTTTAGTAGTTCAATAGTGCCTTATGCTGTAATATGGTAGAACACTGTTGTAGTAGGTTAGTAGTACAGAAATATGGTGTTACGGTACTATAGCACTGTGGTGATATGGTAATAGTCAATTGTATGATGCAGTATGGCAGTTTCGCTTAAATTTTGTGTAATAATAAGCTCATACACAATGCACTGCTCCCCTCCGTTCACCTACTATGCAACACCTCTGTACACAATGCTCTGCTCCCCTTTGTTCACCTGCTTTGCAACATCTCTGCACTCCCATTTTTTTCCATTCCTTTCTCTCCTCCTCACCTCTTGACACTTGCTTGCTGCCGCGCTCGGTTTTGTTGCTTTTTCGGCTGTCTGGCTTGTTTTTTCAGATTCAGAGCTAGTCCTCCATGCAACCGCTTACAGCATCTGCACGCGCCCTCACCTGAAAACGCTGTACGTCCCGTGAAGTAAGGAAGTTAGTTGCATCTTGAAAACAGAAAGTCTCCAAAACTAAATTCACCTACATCACCACAAGATGTTTGGATGGATTTTAAGAAAAAAGCCTCTACTCTCATCTAAAACAAACTGAAGCGTCTTCAGTTTGCAAGACACTACCGGAATTTCAAATGTGATCGAATTACTAGACTTTTTGTGGACAGAGTGAATAGAACATAAAGCAGAAGCATTTTATTCAGTCTAATGTTTCAATTCATTTGATTATTAAAGGAACATTATAGGGTCAGGAACAAAAACTTGTATTCTTGTATGTTAAAACCACCATCTAGCCCCCCCTGGCCCACCCTTGCCCCCCTAAATATAGTAAAATCTTACTTTGTTCATGTCTGCAGCTGCTGGTCTGCTCCTGATCTGCCTGCTTGGCTGATATCACCAAAATGCTTTCCCATAGGATTGGCTGAGACTGTCAAGGAGGTAGATCAGGGGCAGAGCCAGCACAAGCCAAACACAGCCCTGAATTATCAACATCTCATCATAGGTCCATTGAATTGAATCAATGCATCTCTATGATGAAAGTTCAGTGTCTTCATGCAGAGGGTGGAGACACTGAATTTCAGTGCTGCACAGTTTGCAGCACTGCCCTATGAAGTGTGGCCAGTGGAGGTGGTCCCAAGGCTGTAATGTAAACACTGCATTTTCTCTTGAAATACAGTCTTTACTGAAAAAAGACTGAAGGGAATGATTCTACTCACCAGAACAAATGTAATAAGCTGTAGTTGTTCTGGTGACAATAGTGTCCCGTTAAGAAAGGGTTACTTTAGATTAGCTAATGATTCAAACAATGTTCATATGTGTTTTTAATCTCAATTGTGTGAACCTTACAAATTTATCTTTCAATAGCTACAGTCATTTAATAGAAAAAGTATGAATTTTACAAGATGGCTATTAATTCTATAGGGTTACAGTAGCCTGACATGTAAATCCAGTTCCATTAATACTTAACATATAGCATAGATACATATATTAATTATTTGCTGATAGGGAGCTGAAATGTTATTTGAATAATGAACCTAAGTATGCAGTCCAGCATTTTGATATCCATCACATGAGCTGTCTAACCTACTATTCCATTAGCTGGCAGGTTGAATCTAGTACATCAATCATCATTTCACAAAAAAAAATTTTTTTCTATGTAATGCAATTTAGTACCTTTTTGTTAACTCTGTGCACTAGAGACGTGAGTCTTACAGTACCTTGATATTATGTGTGTTTTTACAAAAAAGGTTAAAGTGTACCAGTCATGGATAAACATGATTAAAGAGTACACAGAATTGCTAGCAAATGTATTGATCTTTGTAAAACTGTAATTGTAAAAAGGGGCCTTCCTCTACCAGTCAATCACACGTGCATACATTTTTATGCCATCTTCATAATCATGTACAGTTAATTTTCTCTGTGCCTGTTAGGACAACCAACATTTTTTTTTTTTCATGTTTAAATCTTTATTTCACTTTTTCAAATTACAGAAAAAACACAACAGACAAAAAAAGTTAATAAATAAAATAAATAAATAAATAAATGATATATGGAAAGAGAAAAATACCATTCACAATGCAAAATATTCTATTACCATCTTTTACTTTTATACATCTTACAATCTCTTCTGACTTATTTCCAGCTATAGTAACACTTTTTTATATCTTTACATCACTGAATTCTTTTTTACATTAGCCATTTCATTTTATCCCTTCTGATATACTTTATACGTATACTGATTCATATCCCTCATTCTCTTTAAACATTTAAAAAAAAAAAATGATAAAATAAAAATGTACATTTAATTATAGTAATTCTTTCTATTATGAATCTGCATTTCCAATTTTATTTAATTTATAAAATTTCATATCACACGTCTATATCAATCTGTTCCTGCTGCTTGAATCTCAAACACTGTTCTCGTTCTCTTTCCGTCGTCTCCCTTCCCTCTTCCTTCATTTGTTTTGTACCACCTAAATGTTATTAGCCATTTGTATTAATGAAGCTATTTTGCTTATTTCTTTCCCCTTATTTTCTCTTAATTTCCTCTCATTTAATTTCCACCTCTCCCAAATTTTATCATAAATATCTTGTTTGCCTTTTAGCCTATATGCCATCTCCTCATAGAATTTGGTAGTAGAAATCTTTTCCCTTATTATACTTAATGATGGCACCTGTTTTGTTTTCCATAAATTGGCAAAAGCATTTTTTGAGCCATCAAAATATGTATAATTAGCACTTTTTCTTGTAGCAATATTCTTTTCTTGTCGTAGGAATATTTCTGGTTGCAGGGGCATAAATGTATTTGTAACTTTAAAAAATAATTGTTGAATGTGTTTCCATGCATCAATAATTTTTTTACACTGCCAAAACATATGGGTCATAGATCCTTCCACTTCCCTACATCTCCAGCATGTCCCCACGTTCTCTGAATATATTTGCGCCAATTTTTGTGTTGTCATGTACTACCGTAGCCACATTTTGTATGTTGCTTCTATGTGTTGTATATTACGTGTGGCAGCCTTAGCTGATCTCATAGCCCTATACCATTGAAAGGGCTCCCACTCGTTGTTTAGCTCCTTCTCCCAATTTAACATAAAAGGCAGTTTCTCTGGTTTTGCTATATTTAATATTCCTCTGTAGCTTATTGATAGAGGCTTATTTTGGGGTCGTCTCCCCAAACATAGCCTCCCAAAATCATTCACCCTAGAATTTTCCACCTCCTTCACTTGAAGTTTCATTAAAATATGTTTCACTCTGAGATATGTATAGAGTTCCCTGTTATGAAGATCGTATTTAATTTGTATATCTGGGAATTAATGTATAGCTGAGCCTACTATTAGATGTCGGGTTTTTGTTAATCCTTTCTTTCTCCATGTTGTTATGTTTAAATCGTTTGTATAATAAGTTAAACTTTGCAGAGTTCCATAGTAAAAATAATTGCCTTTCCCCAGAAGTTTAGGGGCCCAGTAACTCCACAACCTCAGAGATATTTGTGTTGTGGATAGGAAATTATAGTTTCTAAGATGAGCACGATGTGTTGTCCAAATGAGATCCAATATCTCATATTGTGGGACAATGGATTGTTCTAATATATGCCATAGGGGTATACTACAGGGAGTGAAGAATTATTAGGCAAGTTGTATTTTTGAGGATTAATTTTATTATTGAACAACAACCATGTTCTCAATGAACCCAAAAAACTCATTAATATCAAAGCTGAATATTTTTGGAAGTAGTTTTTAGTTTGTTTTTAGTTATAGCTATGTTAGGGGGATATCTGTGTGTCCAGGTGACTATTACTGTGCATAATTATTAGGCAACTTAACAAAAAACAAATATATACCCATTTCAATTATTTATTATTACCAGTGAAACCAATATAACATCTCAACATTCACAAATATACATTTCTGACATTCAAAAACAAAACAAAAACAAATCAGTGACCAATATAGCCACCTTTCTTTGCAAGGACACTCAAAAGCCTGCCATCCATGGATTCTGTCAGTGTTTTGATCTGTTCACCATCAACATTGCGTGCAGCAGCAACCACAGCCTCCCAGACACTGTTCAGAGAGGTGTACTGTTTTCCCTCCTTGTAAATCTCACATTTGATGATGGACCACAGGTTCTCAATGGGGTTCAGATCAGGTGAACAAGGAGGCCATGTCATTAGATTTTCTTCTTTTATACCCTTTCTTGCCAGCCACGCTGTGGAGTACTTGGACGCGTGTGATGGAGCATTGTCCTGCATGAAAATCATGTTTTTCTTGAAGGATGCAGACTTCTTCCTGTACCACTGCTTGAAGAAGGTGTCTTCCAGGAACTGGCAGTAGGACTGGGAGTTGAGCTTGACTCCATCCTCAACCCAAAAAGGCCCCACAAGCTCATCTTTGATGATACCAGCCCAAACCAGTACTCCACCTCCACCTTGCTGGCGTCTGAGTCGGACTGGAGCTCTCTGCCCTTTACCAATCCAGCCACGGGCCCATCCATCTGGCCCATCAAGACTCACTCTCATTTCATCAGTCCATAAAACCTTAGAAAAATCAGTCTTGAGATATTTCTTGGCCCAGTCTTGACGTTTCAGCTTGTGTGTCTTGTTCAGTGGTGGTCGTCTTTCAGCCTTTCTTACCTTGGCCATGTCTCTGAGTATTGCACACCTTGTGCTTTTGGGCACTCCAGTGATGTTGCAGCTCTGAAATATGGCCAAACTGGTGGCAAGTGGCATCGTGGCAGCTGCACGCTTGACTTTTCTCAGTTCATGGGCAGTTATTTTGCGCCTTGGTTTTTCCACACGCTTCTTGCGACCCTGTTGACTATTTTGAATGAAACGCTTGATTGTTCGATGATCACGCTTCAGAAGCTTTGCAATTTTAAGAGTGCTGCATCCCTCTGCAAGATATCTCACTATTTTTGACTTTTCTGAGCCTGTCAAGTCCTTCTTTTGGCCCATTTTGCCAAAGGAAAGGAAGTTGCCTAATAATTATGCACACCTGATATAGGGTGTTGATGTCATTAGACCACACCCCTTCTCATTACAGAGATGCACATCACCTAATATGCTTAATTGGTAGTAGGCTTTCGAGCCTATACAGCTTGGAGTAAGACAACATGCATAAAGAGGATGATGTGGTCAAAATACTAATTTGCCTAATAATTCTGCACTCCCTGTAGATGTATCTATTAGTGCTGCTGTTTGTGCCAGTATGGAAGCTATATCATATTTTTGAATATGCGGTACTCCCATTCCACCCTCTGTCATTTTGCAGCTCATTGTATTCAGTGATATTCTTGGGGGTTTGCGTTTCCAAATATGAGCATTTATTGTTGTCTGAAAATTTGTTATAATTGATTTAGGGATCATTTTAACAGAATTGATCCGTCCCGCCCATGATCCGGTGCTCTTGTCCAAGTGTTTTAGTGTATCTTGTACTTCTCTTAGTAATTTGCTATGGGTATTTTTTTTATCATTTCCTGTTTCGAAAGTGAAAGATGAATACCAAGATATTTTGTAGATTTATTTCTCCATTCGAATGGGTATTCATCTTTCAGCTTTCGAATAGTTGGCTCTTGCATATTAATAGGTAAGGCTTGGGTTTTAATATTATTTTTATAATATGACACTGTACCATATTCCTTCAATAAATCTATCAGCGGCATTATTGTTTTGTCTGGATTTGTTAGTATTATCAGGACATCGTCCGCAAATAAGGCCACTTTTTGAAGTCCTATGTGAGTATTTAGCCCTGTTATTTGAACTTGTTTATTTATCTTATATACTAGGGGTTCAAGGGTCATAATAAAAATCAATGGAGAGAGCGGACAGCCCTGTCTTGTTCCATTAGAGAGATGCAATTTACGAGACACAAAACCTGAATTGATAACTCTAGCCTTTGGGTTTGTATACAATGAGAGCATACCTTGTTTAAATTTGTTTGGGAGTTGAAATTTATCTAGCACCTTCTCCATGTATTGCCAATGTAGGCGATCAAACGCCTTTTCCGCGTCAAGTGCCAACAATAATCCCTCCTTTTTCTGTCTTTTCATTATTTCCAGTATATCTATAAATCTACTGGTATTATCCCCCACCTGTCTACCTGGCACAAAGCCTGCTTGTTCTGCCCCTATCAATTAGGGCGGTAGTGGTTTCAGTCTTAGTGCCATTACTTTTGCAAACAATTTTATGTCAACATTAAGCAGAGATATAGGTCTTAGATTGACGCAGCTAGTCGGTGGCTTTCCTGGTTTTGGTAGTGTTATTATAATAGCTTCCAACATTTCCGGGTGTACCTCACCTGAATCTAAAATGCTGTTAAAAAGTATTGTTAGATTTTGGATCAATTTCTTTGCAAATTTAAAATAATAATAATTAGAAAAAGCCTGGTGCTTTATGTTTTGAAGTTGTTTTTATAGCTTCTCAGACCTCCTCCTTTTGATGGTTCTCCTACTTACCATGAACATGAGACAGTACAGGTATGTCCAGATCAACGTCCACACTATCGCACTGTATCCCTCCTCTAGTGAGGGCAAAGGTTGTATTTGTCAGTTCCCCTATGGATGTGAAGTCTTTATTATAATTTGACATACTCAGTTTATTCCTATTCTGCAGCATTTACACATAGAAGTTTATTGTTCTGATAGGTCTTGCAGACTGAATAATTACTGTTTTGTTAGTACAGGCAGTTCTCACTGCTAGTGTCAGTGTAATTGAACTTGGCAAGTGATTACATCACTTCTGACATTGCAGCAGATGAAATAGGACATTCTGTTTCCTCTTCAACGAGTGACAATAAGCATGGGATCAGTCAATATTCTTCACCATAAACTGCTATGCGTGCCATATAATGGGAAGCAATTCTGTGCTTCAAAAAGAGTGTTAAACAGAACAAAGGATACAGGTAACGCCAAATAAAACCAATAAGTAACTAAAATAGCAATAAAACGTATATAAAATATGCAATAAAAATATACAAAGGTAGCAAAAAATTTATATTTTGGCATAAAAGTCTTCAAGTGTTCAAAAGACGTCTATGGTGTGTCTTCAAACATCATCAACATATGTAAGAGAAAATATAGGAAACCAATAGTGCAATATTGCAAGTCTGTGGACTGTAGTCAACACTGAGATAAAAACTGCCAACTCACGTCTTATAGAGCTCTAACCAGCTCTCGGTAAAACAGTATACAGTGGTATTTAAACTCCCCATTTGTAGGATATCCCTCTGACGGTAGTTGTAGTGTTGGTCATATGCAATAAAAGAAGGGAAAAAGGCACATAGTGCTCTCCATATTTGTAAGTTTGAGTGATAGAAGGAAATATACTTACAATTTGAGGAGCAGACGGACCACTGTGTATTAGGCGTGGGTAAAACAATTCCCACCTAAAATTCTTTGACTGATGAGCCTGATGTGTCAGGTGATAGGATGTGCCAGGTATGAAAAATAATAAAAGTATAAAAGACTAACCCAAACAAAAAGGTAGTCTAATAATATTACTTTTATTAAACAAATTTTAAAATCACAACGCGTTTCGCCCTATTAGGCTTTTTCAAGTAGAGTAAAATAAATGCCTGGCAACTTTGGTTTATATAGGTAACTATATGACACAAATTAGAATTTTGGCGCAAAAATAACGCCACAGGCACATGACCTTAATTTATACAATACACTTTGAGGTAATTACAATACAAAAAATAATATTCATTTTTTTTCAAGTAAAATATATCTAGAAGCATTAGACTATAGTTTAAAAAGTTGAACATTGTTTATTACTTTAAAAATATATTAAATAATAAAAGAGCGATATGTTGCAAAATCGTGGCGGCCACTCTGTGTAAAGGGTTATTTAGGGGTGCGTGAGGGGTAAGCATATTAGGGGTAAGGGTTAGTGTATAGAAGATATATTGGTATTGTGGGAAATTTATTATCTTGGGTAATAAAATGTACAAGAAGTGTGAGGGGGTGGCCATCTTGGATGAGGGCTAGTGATGGCAAATTGTTAGCAAATGTACTTATTACTTTAAGGACAAGATAGTTTCTATTTGTGTAAATAGGTGTTGTGGTAGATATGGAAGAAGGGGCAATTTATAATAATTTTATGTTAGACAAACAAACCATTGAATAATATATGCAAATAAAACTGATAGTATAAGGGGTGGATTTAGAGGGATAGGAATTAAAACATACATATGAACAGAGAATAACATAAACATTAAAAGCATATGTAACTCTATATAGAATATTAATACTTAAATGGGTCCATAGTGAATGTGAATATCTAAGAACAAACATTAACAGCATATATAATA